CCCCAAAACCCCAAAACCCCAAAACCCCTTAAGTTGTCAAGACTGAAAATAATATAATTCTAAAATGTCTAAAGTTTACCCGACAGGGATTGTCGGCTACAAAAAGTACCTCAAAGAACGAACAGACTATATAAACGACCTAAAATTAGAAAAGAAAGAGAGAATGAAGGCTCTAGGTACGTAAAATTCCCTCCCAAAACCTCCAATCTTTTCACCTTGCTCCTTCACAAACTGTTTTAAAGCCATTATTCTGAGGGAACTGCTCAGTCTGGCTTCTTGGCGAGTTCATGCTGGGTTTTGATGTTTAATTGTCAACGTAGGTCTATTGAAAGATGAAAGTTTGTATAAAGCTAAGCAGCAGAAGAGTCAGGCTGAGAAGGCACTCAGGTTACACTTAAAAGAAGAGTTAAAAGAAAGAGCAAGGAAAGCCAAACTTAGGGAAAAAGAAATTAAAATAAAGCAGGATCAAAGCAAAACAGAGATTATTAACGATTCTATTATTCCTCCTTCCCAATCTCATTCTTCCCCTACCCACAGCTTGGATAACAAAGAAGAAGAAGCTTTAGCTCTTCGCCAAGAACAGGAAAGACAGCGACAGGCTAGGTTAGAACAAGAGAGGAGGAAGCAGCAGAAACTATTGGAGGAAAGACAGAATGAGCTGGATGAGAGGAATAGGAAGAATATAGCTTTAAAATCGATTTCTGAAGCAAAGATGAAAGATGTATTAGAAGCTAGAAAGAAGATGAAAGCAATAGAGCAAGAGAGCAAGAATAAAATAAAAAAGATGGTGGCAAATGAAATTAAGGCCAAGGAGGTTGTAACAAGAATTAAACAAAAGAGAATTAACCCTAATTCGTTCAAGTTTAATGTCACTGAGCTGCTGAGAAATCAGAATGAAAAGAGCCCATCTATTGTAGGCTCTTATACAACTATTAGAGCAAAATCACACCTAAGGAGAGATAAGGATAACAAAAGTGGATTTTCCAGTGTAACTTCGATCCAGAGAAGTCAGTTAGGCTATCTGAATGGACATAAAGACCAAGATTATGAAGATGGAATTCTTCATAGTTCAAACTCCCAATCTCAAACTCTTGACACCAAAAGAAAGTTGCCTTGATTGAAGAAGAGATTGGAAAGGTTAGTAAAGCCTCTGGAATCGAAAGAGGAAACTGTCAAGCTTAATAGGAAAATAACTCTTAGATCAAAGAACAAAAGTCAAGGAAATATTCCTGATCCTATTAAAACAATGAAAAGAGAAAGAAATAGAATTATTGATAGGTTAGCTATACTCGGAAATATAAATGTGTCCCCAGTTACTAATAAAAATGTTACTATTAATGATATATGGAGAGGTCATGACACAATTGTCGCTCAATCAAAGCGGATAGAGTTTGTTAACTCTGCAAGCAAATTCCAAAGTTCTAGGAAATTCTAAAAAGACACCACCGAGGAGGATGAGCCCTCGGCGTAATAAAGAGACTCAAGATGATAGTTTGAATAAAGATTCATCACTGGTAATGGATCACCAAAATACTGATTCCTTCTTGGAAGGAACGGTGACTTATGATGTAACTAAGACTACAAGAAAGAATAATCGGAAGGCACTACAAATGAATACCCGGGCACTGACTAAAAGTGTGGTGAGGTCTTATCCTAATCTTATAGGCTAGACAGAAGGTTCAAACTCTTCAGAATTCAATAGAGGGCTGGCTTTCAAAGAAGATCCAGCAAGTAAACCCTTCTTTTGGAGAAGCTTTCAAATATTATGATAATGAGATTAATGAATTGGTTGAAGATGATGTCTGAAAGAAGAGAGTAGATTGCCAGATGGAAGCTTTTTCGACTAGATTCTTGATGGGTCTGAAAAGAAAACAAAGGATGAATGAGTATTGGAAAGGTAGAGTCCGTAAAGATTTTACAAAGCTTGACGATAGTGAAGATTAAAGTATCCAAGATATCCGAAATCAGCTGGCAAATATAAATATTTCTAACTCATCAAAACTAATATACCAACTTACCTCTCAATTGCCACCCTAAAAAGAGGGGTTTTGGGGTTTTGGGGTTTTGGGGTTTTGGGG